ANTGGTGTTACAGAAAACTAGTGTTTGATCCCATCACGCCACGAAGACACACAATGGGATATTCACACACCAGACGCAATGTCAGTGACGCGCCGACCAAATGATGGACGAGAACAATAAGCGGTCGGCATCAAAGAGTAGCCACAAGATAAACCGAGAAGTACCGACTTGATCCCTGGCGTGGGCATCAGCGCCGTGCTTTAACAACCATTTCTCCATCTCTTCTTGGCCTTCATAACAAGCATCGTGCAGTGGCGTCATGCCATTCTGCGGGTCAGTGCAGCAAAACACAAACAGTTGCAACATCACCATGTGCCTCACAGGACCAGATGAGCTATGAAGACCAAAGATGGCAAGGGAAAAAACGAGAAAAGGAGAGAGGAGGAGGAGGAGGAGGAGAGAGAGAGAGAGAGAGAGAGAGAGAGAGAGAGAGAGAGAGAGAGAGAGAGAGAGAGAGAGAGAGAGAGAGAGAGAGAGAGAGAGAGAGAGAGAGAGAGAGAGAGAGAGAGAGAGAGAGAGAGAGAGAGAGAGAGAGAGAGAGAGAGAGAGATTTCATGCAACGGTCGACATGTGAAGAGGGAGGTACTGACCACGTCTTTGGCATCAAGATCAGGACCGTGCTGTATTAACATCTCAGCCACCTGTTCATGACCACCACCGCAGGCACAGTGCAACGCTGAAGTGCCATTCTGCAAGTGTATCCGACATCATTCCATACAAGTACAGCCGCGTGTCCCACGATAGCACGATGAGCTGTTAGTAAACCAGTCGGTCTATAAGTAGCTCAAACAATCCCAACGGCAGCAAGATGGTGTAGCCGGTCAACGATAATAGCGGGGAGAGAGGAAGGGTACTCACACTGTCTTGGGCTTTACAATCAGCGCCAAACTTCAATATCATCTCCACTAATTCTGCGTGACCACGAAGGCAGGCCGAGTGCAGTGGCGAAAAGTCCTGTGGATGGTGCATCACCACCATGTCCAAAATCAGCACATATTCATGAAGGGCTTGAAACTAGTTCAGAGCAGCTGAGGGGAGGTTCTCACCATCGTCCCCCTCAACGGCACACATACCTCATGACAATGTTTTATCGCGGATCGGATACGCTGTGGATCCCAACTGTTCAAAAGCCGCAGCGCCTCTTGTGGATCACACTGACACGTATCCGATAGCAGCTCTCCATCCGAACTCATCGTGGCTTCATCCGAACTCATCGTGGCTCTCAACTCCCTAAAAGACCGCTCTATTTCATGAGCCCCCTCCAAATACAACCGTCTGACAAGCCAATGTCAGATGGATAACGGTCACTAATTCAGCTGGTCAAAACGGCAGCCGGGGGGTAGCAGCAGCAGCTCTTGCTTGCCTCCTGGTATATCGGGTGATGCGGCCTCTGCCCTTGGCGTACCAGTTGTAGGGTGATGCAGGGGGGTGTTGTTTGCCTGGAGCACAACTTTGGCTGGTTTGCCGTCTTTGGGTGGCGAGATAAAACGTGAGCGCTCGCCGTCACGGCAGAAATGTGAAATGGCAGAGTCTCCTTGATAGCCCGCCTCGGTCGCCCGGTTCAGGGCGATGTGACAGCTCCCAAACAGGCTTCCATCGGATCTCCGGCAAGTGAGCACGACACCTCAACCTCAATTGCTGTTGATGAAGCAGAAAAAATGAAAAATAAAAAATGGCTGCAGATCACAACAACAAGTCACAACAACAGTTTCTCAATGCGCCTGTAGCACACGAGCACGCAATGATGATGATGACTAGTCGAAGTTGGTAAAGCGGCAAATCTCGTGCCGCCCGTACTTCGACACATATCCTCGGACCCTGGTAATCAAGTACTCTTCCCACAATGTGAAGCTTCTAATCTTGAACGGAATGCGATTGGCTCTGGCTCTGGCAACTCAACAGGGCTGTGGATCTGGTGTGTGAGCGCGTTCTGACTTGGACGCATTCTGAAGGACATTCAAACCGAGCGCAGCGCAGAAGCCAGCGAGCAAGCGCTCAACGCTTGCTTACATGCCACGGAGAAGCGAAGGGAGTTTTGCGAGCTCAGGGGTTCGATTTACTTTGATTGCATTTCCAAGGCCGGTTGGACGAGCAAGGCTGCTTGGGCTAGACATGGGCTACGATGGTTTCAAACTCACGAACGGCTGCTTGCTGGTCCTCGTTGAGTGGCTGAGCGCTGAGGATGAGGTAGATGTTTGTAAAGTTGGGTTTGACGAGCGTGCCGTTGAGGCGCTCGTAGTGGTAGTTGTACTTGACTTGCAGCACCTCACTTCGCTTGAAGGGACTGTCCCGGAGTTGGTGGTACGAAGGCATATCTGTCCAATTGGGCCAACCAATGCCGACGATGAGTTGGCGATCCTGCGAGGCGGCCTGCTGGAGAGCAGACTGGCATTGAGCTGAAAGGCGGTTGAGAATGTCCTCGGTAAAGGGGGGGTGCACGACCCAGCCGTAGCCCGAAGCCAGCATGTCCGTCTCGAAGAAGCTGCCCAGAGAGCCAAAGGGCGCGTCTGTGTCTCGATAGAGGCTGCAGAAGCGGGCAGCGGGATCGTTGTAGCCGAGCACGCGTGAATTCAGGGGGCAGGCAAAGGCTTCGCGCAGGAGACCCAAGCGACGGGCCAGAAAATTGTAAAATTCTTGCGGGTGACCCCAGTGCTGTGCTGTTGTGTGAAGGTGGGCGGCGTAGCGGAAGATGCAGCGAGCCACCTGAGCCAGCTGCCATTGATCGTGCTTGGCAGGGGGAACATCATCAGGGATGTGGCGACCGGCGCCACGGACCATCCAGTCTAGCCGCCGCAATCGATGCAGCGCCACAGGTTGGCTGGCGGCAAAGTAAATGACGAGTTCTGAGAGGTTGTACTCAAGCACAAAGGGGCGCTCGCGTTGGATGTCGCGACGACGCTGTGCGGAGCGCGCACACGCGTCAATGGCGTTGACAACCTCGTCAGCCAAGCGAGGAGGAAGGTGCTCAGCACACAGCTCACTGTGGCATTTGTGAAGGGCGGCACGATTCTCACGCATCGCCACGGGTAGATCAGCGGGGGTGCCATCGGTGACTACGGCAAAGACCCAGCGCTCGAGAACCTTGGTGGCCAGGTAAGCGCATTGGCTGGGTTTGGCGCGTCTTCGGACCTGAGCAAAGGCTCGTGCACCTTCTTCCACGAGGCGCTGGGTAAACTTAAAGTGGTAATACTCGCGCAACAAGTCGTCGTGTAGGGCCTGCCCAGGCTGGACAACCATGCGCACGGGCCCCGCTTGTGCAAATGGCCAGACCAGATCGGTTGGCTGCGAAGGTAGCTGTTCTTCCAGCTGTTCAAAGGCATAATTGAAGGGTCGGGCTGTGTCACATTCCTTCAACACATTAGCCACTTCATCATCAGCTGCGCGCAAAGGCACGGGAGGGAGGCGGTGACGCAAGCAGGCAATGTGGAAGTAAGTTGGACCGAGATTGCAATGTTTGGCGCGTCATCCACCAAGCAAGAGGTGAGGATTTGGCTCCAAGAGTGCGTACCCTGGATCCTTGCGCGCTTGGACGACGGGCCGGCCTCTCCATCATCGGTCGGGTTCATCTCGGACTCTGTTTGCTGGTGAACCTGCGCCGGTTGCGAGCACGCCGCAGTGGCCTCGCCCTTGGCCGCCTCTTCAGACGACCGCTCAACTTCTCCAGCCTCACCAGCCACTGCCACCCCATTGGCCACGAGCACACCCTCCTCCCGTCCCTCCTGCCCTTCGATCCGAACCTCCACAGCCGCCTTCATCCCCGAGGCCATCCCGACGCTCACTCTGCGATTCTCAATAAAAGCAGAAAAAAAATCGAAAAATCGAAAAAAAAAGTAAAAAATAAAATAAAATACGTTGTGAACGTAACTGTAAAAAACACCACACTTTATCATAATTTACCCGCGTAAATTCAAATGAAAAGAAAGCAGAAGTCGATGGGTCTGCATTGAAACCCCTTGTCTCTCTCAATCTCTTGGTCTCTCGGTCTTCATCTCTGAATCGTCTTGCATTCTTCACGCCCCGCTCTCCTTTTCTACACGCGTTGCAGCACATTCTCTCAATGTTTCACTTGTTTTGTTCAAATCTCTCGCTCAGGTGCGGTTTCGGTTTAGGTCTGTGTCTCTGCCATGACGTGGTGCTTTGCACCTCCCTCTGACTTTTTCCACCTTTCTGCCTCCATCTCTGAATCCATGTCTTTACCCATGCATTCCTCTTCATCGCTTTTTAATTCGTCCATCAGTCTCTCTGTCTCTCTGGTTCTGTATCTTGTCTCTGCATCTCTGTCGCGCCGTCTCTGTATCTCTCTGTCTCTGTGTCTCTGCGCAGATTTGCAGGTGCACGCGTTTTGGCTGCGCGGGTGGCAGTGAACGAGCGACCCCGAGTTGACGGCGGCGACCAGCACGTCGTCGTGATCCCCCGGTTCCATCTTCAGCAGCAGCGCTTGGAGGCTCCTCTTGGTCTCAAGACCACCACCAACCAATACAACCCTCTCGTTTCTTCTGCTTGTGCAACGTGCCCCATCCCCGACCCTGCTCGTGGCGGTGCTTCTGATCTCTCAGCACTCGGGGTTCTTCTTCTTCTTCTTCTTCTTCTTGTTTGACTTCTGTCGAAGAGTCAAAGCCTGCACGACGTGCATCAACGAGCTTCAAAAGGCAACCACCACGCTTACGTTCTCCTCGGCCTGCTCCCGTATCGGGAGGGCATGGCGCGAAGGAGCAGTAGCCAAGCTGCTGCAGGTGGGGCCGCCTCCGCTGTCACCTCGGGTTCCTGTCCAGGCATTTCGGCGGCCCGCAAGCCATCAGCCTCAACGATCGGCTTTTCCGCTCCCTGTGGCACCCACAATTGCCCAGCCTGTCTCAAAGCAAATCGTACGTGACCTGCCCTGGCCACGGTGCCGATGATTTGTTTTGACTTGCTTGGCCGAGCCATCAAATTTTCGGACCCTCACCACCCACCGCTCAAACCCTGGACCTCGCGCCGCTGTTTTTTCTTTTTCTTGATATTTTCCTTTATTATCAACCTTGGGCTTTGACCCCTTGCCTCCCTTCCCCGCCCGTCGCGTGTCATGCAGGGCTCAAGCTTTGTAGCTGCGGTTTGGTCCAGTTCTCTCGCACGTTGTTTTGCAAACAATGCGGTGCTTCGTTGCGGGACACCGCGAGCCATGGTAGTGCCACGCCCGAGGTGCCCGTCATCATCAGTCGGCGAAGCTACAACAACTGGCGCAAAAAACTGATTGAACGCGTCACTCAGGTCCGTCTTTGCACTTCCGCTCCTTTCCCCGTGGCTTTCATCCACCGCCATGGCCTCCTCACAAACTGCCCCCCGCATCTCTCCTGTCTTGCCTCTCGCTGGTCTTCGCATATGCCGCATATGCTCCCTCATGGTAGATTGGCGCCGAATTGGATAGCATGCGCGATTGCATGGCAGGCGAACCTGTTTTGTCTGTGCAAATTCACATGCCCAGCTACCGTGATGCCGGTGCCGTGCCCGAACCCGAATCCGAGTCACAGGACGAGCCACGCTCAACCCGGGACACCCGCACCCAGGTTTTTCTATTTGGTGGAGGGCACGCCAATCTCCTGGCCCCTCATCACTTCCATCGCGACGATGGCCTTGTCTGCATTGCTGGTCACCACGATGCGACCGAAGCCATGCACCCTGTTCATCGCGCACAGCTTCAAGCCCAGGGAACGTCCCCACGCGATACCGACAGCAAGCTGCAATTGGCCTTTGAAAACTTCATTTATCAGTTTGAGAACGACATTGGGCGCTTCACCAACGTTCGGCGCACCCAGCGCAGCAAAAAACACTTTCAACGCAAGACTTACCGTGACCGTAACGGTGCCGCCCGAACGCACAACGCTCAACCACCCACTCGAACGACGACCAACAGTGCCCTCAGCTTGCTCTCCCGTCCCGGTTCAGCAACAGGCTCCCGTCCCGGTTCAGCAACAGGCTTCCGTCCCGGCTCGTCGCTGCAAACCTTCTCCTCTAGCCAGGCCCCGACCCAGAGCTCCCGTCCCGAGTCAGCCATCAGCCAGCGCCCCGTGGGCCTGGCCACGTTCACCAACGCCCTCCGCCCTGCTGCCGGCAACAAGCACGCAGCATCCCTGAACCGCTTCGATCCCACGGCAGCGGAAGCCTTGACCCGATCCACCTCCCTGCCAGCCTGGCCTACACACAATACCCTTGTGTCTGATCCACCCCCGCCCCTTGATATCGCTCAGCCCGCCGTCCTTCGAAGCAATGCAGCAGGATCGCTGCACCACCAAAACACCGCCGTAAACGCGCCTCAGCCCGCCCACGGCCCCGCCAATCCACCCCCTTTGGAAGAACACTTGGAACCGGACAGCCTGGACCCGCCTGTTGCTCCTCCCTCCGTGTCCCTCATCTCGCCTAGCTTCCAAGGCAGCTTTTTCGCCTACCAGCGCTCCTCGGGCAACGTTGCGTTGGTGGACCCTAAAACCGCTGGCCTCAGCGCAGCCTCATCGACCAATCACGATACCTCGCCGCCCGCTGCGCTGCCCCTCTCCTCAACCCAGCCCCATGATGAAACACAAGCCCAGCCCAAGCGAGCCAAACGCACACCTTTGCAGGCTCGCAATGCCAACGTACCAGATCAGCCTGCCAATGTCTTTGCTGCCTCGTGTCCGACAACCGGCCACCTGGATCACGGTCAGGATCCTAATCAAGGCTTGATAGCCCACGCACACAATGAGGACATGGATGTGGTTCTGAGCCATTCGCTCGGGCCCGTGACAGGGACCGCGGACTCTGCCATGTATGATCTTGAGACGGCGCAGCTTGGGGCCGCCTGGGCGCCGGCCTCCCTCCAAAAGGCTCTTCTCAAGGCGGATGAGTTTGCTTTAATCACCCCTGCCCGCTTCCGCCAGTTGCAGCAGCAGGCGGGTGCCGCGAGCTACGACAATCCCTCCACTTGGTCTCCCTTAATCTTGGCGACGCCGGCCGTGCTGGCATACCGTCGTACCCTCCAGGTACACGCGGACGACGATGAAGCCGAGCCCCTGAACGATATCCGAACGCGCTTGGACTTGGACGAAGAACCAACGCCCACGTCCACCTCAACGCAGATTACCCCGTCCTTTCATGCATGAGAAGCGGTCTCCCAGACAGACTTGGAGATCCCAGCATGACCTTGTTTTATTTTTTAGGGTCGGTAGCTTTTGGCGATCAACTTTTACAGTTTCTTTTTCTTTTTCTCTTTTTCTTTCTTTGAGTTTGCGGACTGATTTGTCGTGGCATTGAGCTTCATGTTCTCCATCCGAGCGTCGTCATGGGTGGGGCACGCGAGTGTGCATGGCAGTGGTAGCGTGAATGTAGGGGTCCATGAGCTTGTCAAACGTCTATGTTCAATTGGCGTAGGGAATAAATAATAATTGATTCACTTTTGACTCAATGGTGTTCAGAAAGTGCACAGCGCCCATGCCAATATGTGGCGTTGTGGCGTCATTTCTTTTTGCTCATATCGTACCCGCCTCTCCTCGGACACTGGAATTTGGAGAGGGAATACAGGTCATGTTGTTGCAGTGAGTTAGCGTCACACCGAGAGCTTGTGCGTGCTGGGCGAGCTCGACCTGAAAATCCTGCGGCACGCTTGTGTTGAGTGCCCGAGAGCGATGATGCTGATTTTTGATCCACTTCAGAAGTGGTAAATCCTCCGCACTGGGCGACAACGGCTGCAGCTCCCCCACAAAGTAAGCCAGTGCCTGCATCTCTTCCTCAGATATACTCGTGGTCCAATTGAGGACAAACGTTCGCTGGTGCGGAAAAGAATGGCGCAGGCTTTGCCACTGGCACTCCATCTCATCTGACGCGTGAAGAAAACGTTGAAAGCTTGAAAGTTGCGCAAAAGCTTGTCGGTCACGCCAGGGACAACGGTTTAGAAGCGAATCGGGGTTGATGCAAAAGAAGCATCGCTGTGCCTCTGGGCCCAATGGGACGGAAATGGTAAAGCTCTTGGCGACTCGCACTCGGTCGCGGCGTACGCGGACCAGACTGACTGCAGGACCCAGGTAGCTGACCAAAGCAGGCAGGAGCCCCACGGTCATGTCATGTCCCGAGGAGAAGAAGATGCTACGGTTCTTGGCCAAAAGCTGCTGCTCCATAAACGGGACCATATCCTCGACGACAAAGGTCCAAGCGACATCGCAGACGTTCCAGCGCTGCTGAATGTTGGGTAACATATTGCGTCGATCGTGGCGCTCATGAAACACCAAAACTGGGGTTCCTTCTAGACTTGGCCGACGCAGGGCATGTGCCCAGACAGCTTCATTGCCCAAAAACCCGGTCCCTGAGTGGCCCGTGGAAACGGTGAACACAAAGGAAAACCCGTGGGGGTTGGCGTAGCGATTATCTGGGGAATATTCGCAATGTGGCTTGCCGCGTAAGTCCAAGAGAGCGGGTGGGAGTACTCCTGCGATCGGATATGTCGGCCCTACACCCCATCGTGTGAGCTGGCTTCAAGTGTCACCACGGCTCGTAAGCAGCGGGTCACAAAGCGCACCTGCAACGCAGCGGCAGTCGTCACACGATGCCGGGTACCAGGAAAAGGTCATGGGTCGGAGGGCCGGTGCTCGCATCATGGGCTTGTACCGACAATCCTCGCCGACGCAACGATGGGGAAAGGGGCAGATGAAACGGTCTGGAAATCGAGGTTCCGCTGCCATGGCCGCAACCGGCTCTCCCTCTGCGTTCACCAGCATGGGTGCGGTGGTGACTACCACCATAAGCTGCAGAATTATTGGGATGACATAAATCAGTGTCCCCAGCATTGGCCTGCCGTTCGCCTGGCCTGGGTGAAGCGCTGCCATTGCTTCGTGCGCGCGACAGTGGTCAGAATCATTCATCCAGTGTTGTCAAATCTGACGGAAATGCCCTTTTTTTTTTTGGTTGTTGTGTTGCGTTTTGCAAGCAAGCAAGCATGAAATGTAAGGATCATGTCAATTACATGTAACGTGTTTGTCAAAGCATAGAGAGGGAAATGAATGAAATGCGATGGGCTAGCTCATAAACTGCTGAAGCTGTTCGGGGGTTCGGGCAATGACAGGACCACTTGCAAAGCCGGCCGATGGGGCGTTGCATGCGTCGTATAGTTGCTTGAAAAGGGCGACAAAGCGGTCCTGGCCACGGGCTTGGACTTGGTTGCGCAAACGCGAGCTAACAAGGTGCGTGGCAAGGAGAGCGCGATGAAAGGGAGAAGATCATCATCACGGGCCTCATGTCAACTGCAACGAGCGGTTAAAGTGCATTGGCACCGACCTATGCAGCAGCTGAACTTGCTTGATGCCTTCAAAATCGGCATCGGCAATGAAGCGGTCGAGCGAAGCAAGGCCACGCTTAATGTCCAACAACGAGAGACCGGGGACATCGGCCACTTTGGGACGCGAGCCAGCAGGCTGCGTTGACCAGCTGCGCAGAGCCGCTAAGAGTCCCGTCAATCCTGCTTGCTCTGCAAAGTGATGCGCCTGTGCCTCACACAGCTGCAGATGCACCCGACCACAGTCATGAGCTGGGGCGGTGTCTGCAGCACTAGGTTCGAAAGACGGCGACGTACTCACCGTATCAATGTGACGCTCCATCTCCGACTCGATGACTTCCAGTCGGCGATCTATGGCCACGATGCATGTAGAGTCGGGGCGAGAAGAAGCAAGGGGGAAAGTGAAGGCGACATAAATGTGCATTTAGGCGGACTGCGAGCGAAATACACAGCGGCCAAACGCACGAGTGCTGTCGTAGAGGGTCAGCACGGTTTGAATGTGATAGAAGCAATTCAGCATGTAAGCCGCCTAAAACGGTCACAGAAAATCAAACACGGGTCAGCGAGCTTCCATCATCTGAGCAGCAGCAGCAAACGTTTGTCCAGGCGTACCACATCAACGGCGCTGAGCATGGAAGCGCTGAGCGCGCACATTTCCAGCGCGGGCGTCAACACGTGTGACAAGATCTAGTTGAGCAGCCAAGGAGGTCAGGCTCCACCTGCTGCAAGTGCCACAGAGAACGCAGCAAAAAGGACAGCAAGTGTTGCTCGAATTCAACAAGGGTCGATGGGGTTGTTACCAACCTTTTCCAATTCCTGGGCGCCATCGTCGCCTTGGCGGCCGTAGGATGTAGCTTGGGCGTCGAGCACCTCACGAACCGTACTCATGATGCGCACGAGACTGTCGGGAGGGGAGAGACTGGCCGGGGCCACGTCGACGTTTACCAGCAGATCATTAGCGCGAATTTCCAATGCGTTGAAGAATATTTTGAGGGTTTTGGCGTGAAGCTCTTGAATGACCTCGGCCAAAGAAGAAGTGCGGTCCAGCTTGATCAGCTCTTGGGAGGATTGTCGGTAAAACTCGAGCAGGGCGGCCACCTTGTAGGCCATGACGATATCGCTTTGCAGTGCACTGAGTACAGCTTCAGCTCGCATGCGAAACGGCCTGGTCAGGCCCTCAGCGATGGCATCCAGTGCCTCACCAACACGTAGGCTGGATGACGCCATCATCACACACCGGGTCGCCAAATACAGGAATGGTCTGTGAGACAGAGTGCGCGCGAGCGAGACGATGGGATGGGTGCCTTTCGACCTTGCTACCCACTCACCTCAGCTGTTCACCTGTCATGGCATGGTTTGAGCCAGCTCCCTGAAAAGTTTAAAAGATGGAGTACAGAACCAAGGACCGGGTGATCTTGTGGAGACGATTGTACGAGCCAAGGGAGTACGCGACGAGGGAAACAGGGGACGACTCAACCCACCTGTTGGACGGTACGGTCAGTTCCAACAATGGTGCGGAGAAGGTCGCGCTCGGCCAGCAGGGTTTGGTGAACATGGGCCAGCATGTCACTGATGTAACGGAGTGGGTCATGGGAGTGCATCTCGATGGGGGGTGGTGAGCCGTTGGGCCCGCCAAAGGTCAGGGCATCGGAAAAGGTCCGCACGCGGGCGTTGCGGCGTGCTGTGGCCAGCTCATTCAGTGAATATCTGTGGGTGAGTTGGGCACAGCAGACAGTGTGAAGCTGCGCCTGGGCGGGGCCTTGGCTGAGGGCGAGCGAGGAGCCAAGCGTACTGTAGCAGGACAGGGCGAGAGCGAAGGGCCAAAAATGCAAGGTTGAGACGCTTGCTGTTGTCGACATGCTCGGTGGTGAGGCCCCGGCAGGCATTTTGAGTCCAGTGATAGAGGCGTTCGTAGGCGCGATCTTGGATATTGGCCATGTCATCCATAATGTCGACGCCTGCACGTTGGTGGTTGGTGCGCAGGAGCCGTCGGCAGTCGGCATGGATGGCTTGTACGCGCTCAAGCGCGGAGAAGAAGGTCATGTCAAAGGGGCGATCGCCAAGCAAAACGGCCTTGTCATCGGGGGGAAGTTGGTAGCGGGCGGTAAAGGCGTCGAGGAGCTTGCGTCGCAGTTCGGCCTGATCTTGGGCTTGCTTGAGATTGTTCGTCTGGGTGACGAGGGCCGAAGTTTCACTCTTGGCCTTGGCCAAGCGTTCTGTCATTTGCTTACAAGCTGAAGTCATGCCTGCCAGCTCTGTCTCCACACCGGCAAGAGCCTGGGGTCCGCGTGACAACAACGGAAAGAAGAACGATCATCGGAGAGGTGAGCGGGTAAAGGCATGACGGGTCAGCAAGGCAAGACGGAACACCCGGGACGGATCATGTGGGTGGCTGCCGGTCACGTCTGCCCACATGAGCATGCGCGCGCGAGGGGAAAGATAAGCACGAGACTGACCTCAAAGACTGAGGAGAAGACGGTGATGAATTGCTGGTTGGCAACGAGGGCTTGTTGTTCAATTTTGCTGCGCAGGTTGTTTCGCGCATGCTTCGTGTTGTCTTCCAGCAGTCCATCCAGGCCGGCGAGCGAAGTGACCAAGTCCTATGGGGCCATCCGTCGGTAAGGTGAGGATCGATGCGGGTGATGGTCAGGGCAGTCGAAAGAGGGGCCGTGGCTCTGCAGGATCACGCACGTCTTGGCCAGGAACGGCCCGGAGCAGGCCTGAGTGGGCTTGCAGGACTTTTTCAACCTTGCGACCGATCGTGTCGGTTGCTGGCGTCGCGCTGCCCGGTGCAGGATGCTGTGCCGTTGCACTAGGATCCGTACCAGCTGACGCAGCGGTGGAACCCGTGCGCGACGTGGCTGGCGTCGTCGCTGTCGTTGCGTCGGCCGATGTCCCGGGCTCGGCTGCACCCGGCACGGAGGGTTGTGGCGCCGAACTTGCCATGACCTTTTTTTTCGAAGCGAAAAGGTCGTTCACTCGCCAATGTAACCCTCTGCTCGCACTCAAACACCTTCAACTATTCCTCTAGTAGCCCTGCACACCACAACCCGGCGTGTACTTGAGGTGCTGCATTTACGACAAGGACACCAGATCAGTGAGCGCTCCGCCGCCGTCAACGTCGTCGTCGGCAGTCCCAGCAGCCAGGGATGAACATACCCCTCTAATCTAATCTACCGTATCCTGTAAAATTGAATATAAAGTTTACAAGGCCTTCTACAGGAAGCGAGTTGAAATTAGAGAATTACTGCCAACGTGGTCGACATGTGGTGTTGTGTGTGTGTGTGTGTGTGTGTGTGTCCCCCTCTCTCTCTAAAGCTCTCTCTCCCTCTTACATGTACTCGCTCCTCTCTTACTCTCTCACTTTGCATCTACATCGATGGCTCTCTCTGATTTAAGTGCCTTATCCTCTTCGTTTTGCACGTTCCATGCTCTATCCCTCTTAACCCCTCTGACTTTCTCTCTCTCTGTCTGTCTCTCTGTTTCTCACTCACTCTCTCTCTCTCTCACTCACTCTCTCTCTCTCTCTCTCATTTTTCACTGACTCGCTGTCATGGCAGAGACTCATCAACTGATGGCGGAGCGAGTGTGCGCTGGGGCTGAGCCCTGGGAATGAGCATTTGGCTTGAGCTGGTGAATTGTCGTTGAAATGCATTTATTGCCACTGCCGTGTGGTCGTGGTGATGGTGTACAACAGTCATGAGCTTCGTTTTAAATACGTATCATGGCGGCGACGCCCATGTTGAAAGGGCAGCGCCTTGGGCGCTCGTCCTGGCTCCGCTTGCGTAGACGGTAAGCTTAAACCGTAGCCATGTTACATGAAAGCGTGTTCTTTCCCTCTTCATCGCACACGCTCACAGCTGTCGCTGCCTCGGGTCTGGTTCTCCTTCTTTAGAGTTGACACGGAGACGCAGACGTGACCGCTCTTCAAGTTCTGAGCTGGATCAACTCATGGGTCAGTGCAACTCTTGTCTCGCGCACATATCCTGTTGTCGGCCATGTTGTTGTTGTTGTTGTTGTGTTTCCATGTGCGTGTGTTTGTGTTTAAGCTTTGGTGGGTCAGTCAAGGCAGTTGTGAGTTAAAAGTGTTGGTGGTCATCGCCCATCCCCCGGTTCCTCTTTGGGTTTGGCGTTTCCATGTGAGACGCGGAGCCTTGAAGTGGCGAGAGAGGAGACGCATCCTTCTTTGGAGTGTCGTGAGAGCCTAATAGCCATCGCGACGGTATGCGCACGCTGCGGTGGTTACTAACTCTTCATACATTTCCTTTTCCCTTAGGACGCCAACCCCAACTCCGATGCCTGTTTTCTGTGCTCGGCCTGATGCCCCCCGTTTCGTCTCTGCCGCCGAGCGGCTCCCCCTGAACGAACCCCGACCTTATCCTATTTTTGTTTTTATAAGAGCTGTGACATGACTCGGTCTTCAAATTGATCTGAAACGCGCACGCCCTCTCTCCCTGATGACCGAGCGTTCAGGAGCCCTGCGCACCCCCGTTGATGACTGGCATGTCAAAATGATACGGGGGATCGAGAAACTTTGGGTGGGACGCAGCCACGACTGCCCACGGACACTACTTTGGAGGTTTCAGGTTTCAGCCATAGACCACCACCACCACCACCAGCCGCCGACCGCTGCCTCTGGCAAATTCACAATGGGCTCCCCACACCTGCATGCACTCGTTCCACACGTACATGTAATTTTAACGTTAAAATACATTTGATTTGATCACACCGAACTGACCGCTTTTCCACACGGTCATGCAAGCACTTTTTTTCTCTCTCTTCTCTCGCTCTCTCTCGCTCTCTCTCTCATCGTCAATCAGTGAGTCGTCGACTAACCGCCATGCTGCCATGCTGCCATGCTGCCATGCCTGCCGCCTGTCGTGTGTCGTGTGTCATGTGCGATCTGGAAGCTGCCCCAGCACTTGCTTGCTGTGCGCTGTCTCACGTCGCTCCGCCCTTAGGTGCGGTCGGATCGCCTTTGGGTCGTGCTGACCTCCCCTTTTGAGGTCAGCCTCGCCGATTGCACTCTTGCGCGTGCACACGACAAGTGGCTGTACCGAGGGCGAGGCCAGAACGGGCGAGCATTTCCATCAAGCCACCGATCCTCTTGAGGGTCGATCGTCTTGACCACAGCACCCGCTCAATGGCGACGCCGACGTTGGCATCAACGCCCACTTCGGCCCAGGTTCTCCTCGAAGGCTGGGCCGAGAAGCAGGGCAAGATCCGCAAGCAGTTTCGGCGCCGCTTCTGGCAGTTGAAGGGCGATGGCCAGTTTGTCTACTACGTCGACCCACAGATTCAACGTTCGCGTGGTGTCATTACCATCGCCGACCCCGACATTCAGATCCTCGCCGGCCAGCAGCTCCAGCTACACAGTGAGGAGCCAGCCTGGGCCGGGCATTGGCGTAAATCGACCACCACAACATGGGGCCAGCGCCTTGCCATCCGCACCCCGCGACGCTGCTACTTTCTTGGTTTTGAAACGGCAGGCCAATGCTCTCTCTGGGCCGACAAGCTCCGGGAAGCCGTGGCCTTTTTCAACCGTACCGGCATCACCGCGCGCGAAGCCCATCGCCGCTCCCAGCTTCCAGGCTTCCTCACCGACGTTGCCCGGGCTGAATTCCTCTCTCGCCAGTACCACGAGGTTTGTGATCTCTGCCGCTTCACCACGCTTCCACCTCGTCCATCCGGCTGCACCTGCCACTTACCAAAAGCTTGGCCGTGGTCACCAACAGGTCATCGTCATTGGCGCCGGCGTCGCCGGTTTGGCTGCTGCCTGGCATCTGCGCAATTCACATCGAGTAGAAGGTATGTCAGTGCTGTCTGCTCGTTCCCCATCGGCCTGCCCCATCGGCCCTCACCCTGGTATCTGCCTCACCTAGATGTTTTGGTGCTGGAAGCCAGCGACCGGGCTGGGGGCCGCGTTCGAGAAATCGAGCTCCCTTCTCTCCCCGGAGAAACTTTTGACGCTGGTGCCAGCTGGTGCGTTGTGTTTCAAACCGTCTCTCGCCCGTAGAAAGACATCCGGCTCATTCGAGTTTCCCTGCTTATTCTTGTTCTCAGGATTCACGGCACGGTAGGAAATCCCATTGCAGACTTGGCCAATTCTATCAACATGGAAAAAGTCGTGTCCACCGAAGGTACGACTTCCTTCATCGCCGATTCAGTCAAGAGCACTCACCCAACCCTGCTCGAATCGATGCGTTATATAGGCTTGCAGCAACAAGATGTCTCCCTGGCTCTCTTTGACCAAGGTGAGGCCATCGAACCCGAGGACCTGCAGCGCGCTCACGCTTGTCACAAGGCTGTCATGGAGGGTCTTGAAGAAGACATTGAAGGTCTGGTCGAAGCCTTTGAAGATCGAGGTACGTTGGAGCGGTGGCACAATGTTCAACCGTGCCAAGTTGCACTCGCGTCATCTGAATCCCTCCCCTTGACCTCCTCCCAGGCGAAGAACTCCCTCCTGATCAGCCGATGAGTGAAGCGTATGCACGCGAGCTGCATAAGCGTCGCTACTACAAAAAGGCCGACGATCGCCAAAAACGCCTTCTTGGTTACCTTCGGTCCGCCCATTCGCTTGTGCCCTTCTCTGACGCATGGCCACGAGGTCTTGTCTTGCGATTAAGTTGACCGACTCTGGCCACCATTTTAGCTCACGAGACGAGGAGTTCAATGCCGCTCCCTTTTCCACCCTGAGCTACAATCATTTCCTTGAAGATGAGGACCCGCCAGGTACGGAGGGTTGCATCGCAAGTGCGCTGTGACTGTGATACCGCTGATGCATGACACTCAAAACTGGACGCACAACCTTTTCATCACAGGACCTCAGTACGTGACGCGTCGCATGTGTGATTTGATTGATCACATGTTGGAAACGGTCAACGTTGCTTACGAAACTGAGGTACGCTCAACGCGAAGGCCAACCTCGTCAGGTGGCAGAGTGCCAGGGCTTGCTGTGTGTCGTCATTGATTTGATTGTTTGTTTGGCGGTATTTTAATGCAACACACCTTCCATCCATCTCGGGCGAATGCAAACAGGTCGTCAAAGTTACCCACAGCTTTCAAGATGGCCACCAAGTGTCCTTCTCCAGTCACGCCTGTGAGTTTTGTTCCTGATCGGGCCCCCTTGTTGATATCCTTGAATCCTTAGCGCTCCGGCTGTGGCAGCCAACTATCTGGCTTTCATCGTGGGCTTGAACGTCTGCCCTAGCCATGTCCGTGCCCCTGGAGGATGCCGTCTACCAGGTGACCACGGCCAACGGTGCTCGCTACTATGCCCGTACCGTCGTTGTCGCCGTCCCGCTTCCGTGCGTACACTGCCGCCAAAGTTGCATGGTGTTGTAGTGCCGCCTTGATTTTAAGTGTGCGTGTGGTCCTTTTGCTGTTCGTTTTGTGCAGGGTTTTGCAGCAGGAGCGGATCGAGTTTGTGCCCCCCTTGCCAGCGAAGAAACAAGAATCCATTCAACGGATAGGCTTTGGAACCCTTGACAAAGTGTTTCTTCACTTTGAGCGGTGCGTATAGAGAAATTACAGCAGCGTGGTGTCCCTTATGCCGGCCAGCTGCTTGTGCGATTGCCTCCTCAATCTTTCATGCTCCACTCATTTAGACCTTTTTGGGACGAAGACCCAGTTCCAGAACATGCACGTGACTGCGAATACATTGCCAGCGTCGATGGTACGTGGTTGGCCTCGAGTCTGAGGCATAAGCTAGGTAGCCCATTGTTCATTCTTGGTATTTTGCAGACTTTTGCGATCCGGGCACGATGCATGACCAAATGGAGGTTAGTCGCCAATGCCGCTGACTTGCACCTCTGCTTGGGCAAAGCCAAGCAGCGTTTATTCACTTTACACATTCCGCAGAGCATGCCGCTGCACTTTCTCAACTACCACCGCTGGTTCAAGCTGCCCGTCCTGACAGCCATGATTTACGGCGAGATGGCCGAACGACTGGTATCGACACCATGCTGGCTCTTTGTTTGATTTCATCCATTTGCGCATCTCATCTGCCTCTTTTCTCGTCTTCGTCATTAGGAGGGAGTGTCTGAGAAGGAGCTAGAGGAGCGCCTTGTAGGCTCACTAAGGCGCATGTATCCGACCGTGGCTCCCGAGTTGTTGCAGGTAAGCTTGCACTTTTTTCTCTTCTCTCTCTCTCTCTGTATTTTCGCGATTTTACTGGAGAGGGTGGAATCGGAGCTGTGACACATTTGGTTGATTTTGGCATTTTGTGTGGAATTTTGCTGATTAGCCCAAAAGCGTGGTGGCAACGCGATGGCATCGGTCTCCCATTCAAGGTTCTTTCAGCGTGATGCGCCTCGGTGCCTCCGGGTACGTCTCGGGTCCCAAGCCGTCTATTCGACGTTTCGTCACTTCAGTCCCGTGGTTTCCAGTCAATTAATATTTTGGACGCGCATTGCGTAGTCAGGACATGGACAACTATGCCGAGCCGCTTTTGGATGATGCCAACTCGGGTGGTTTGTTCTTTGCTGGCGAAGCAACGGACAAGGTGCGTGACTCTCGTTTGCCAGTGCTTGTCAGTCCCTTCGTATCGTGAGCTTGTGTTGCGCCTCATCGCTGCCGACTATATTTTCGGTCAGGACCATTATGCCACGGTGCATGGGGCTTTTCGCAGCGGCCGTTCAGCGGCGGAACGTGTGGTGGCTGCCATTCTGCACACGACTGTCAATGCTGCCAAGGAGCCACTTATCAACGATGTCTTTGCCATTGAAAAACAGATTGCGCTGGATCACACCAAGCTAGAGGAAGCTGCCAAGCAGCGGTCGAGTCTGGAGGCCAGCTAAGGCGCTTGTTGAGCGAAAAATCAAAGTGTAAACTCTTGATGGATTGTTCATGGCGGCATGGCGGGGGAGAGGTATACAGGTACAAGAGGGCGTTGATTGGTGCGAGCACTTTCAATTCAAAGCTCTAGCCACGGGCGAAAGCTTAAAAAAAAAAAGACAACCGAGCAACAAAGAGAAATCGGGGGGTGATCAATCCTAACCGGAACACGAGTGGACCGGAACTGCCCAGCTTCGAACCCAGTGCCTACCAACAGTCGAAAAACTTGACAATCAAGTTCGATGCCGGCGGGTTTCCGAGGAGCGGCAGTTTTTAATTTGTTTTTGGAGTTTTTGTTCGTTTGTTTTAACATGTAAAGACAGAAACAAGGCATGTCACTTAGCATGCCCCAAAACCAGAGGAGGGGACTTTGGGGGGGGGGGGGGAACGGTGTTGGGCGCTTTTACATCTCAGCACCCGGAAGAGGGAACTGTGAGGCAAAGGCGTTGACGTCCTTGCGCAGCTGGGCCACAACCTCGCTCTTCTCGATGGCGGGAAGGAAGTCCTTGAGGGGCTTGCCGACCTCGTTTTGAATGTCGATGCAGGCGCGGAGGGCGCGGTCAAGAAAGTCGGCGACCACCTTCATGTGCTCCTCGTTGAAGCCACGAGTAGTGAGGGCGGGGGCACCGATGCGCACGGCGCCGGGGGCGAGGGCGGAGCGGTCGCCCAGAATGGCGTTCTTGTTGAGCGTGATGTGGATGGCGTCGCAAAGCTTCTCCATCTTGGAGCCGGTGACACCGTGGGGGCGGAGGTCCCAGAGGATGAGGTGGTTATCAGTGCCACCCGTGGCAAGGGCGTGGCCCTTCTCGACGAGGGCGGCCGCGAGGGCCTTGCAGTTCTTCTTGACTTGCTGGATGTATTGCTTGAATTCAGGGGAGGCAACCTCCTTGAGCTGAGTAGCCACGGCAGCAATCTGGTGCTCGTGGGGACCACCCTGGAGCATGGGGAAGACGGCAAAGTTGATCTTGCTCTCAAAGCCGCGATCGTCCTTCTTGAAGAAGATCATGCCGGAGCGGGGGCCACGCATTGACTTGTGGGTGGTGGTGGTCACAATGTCGCAGTACTCAAAGGGGTTGTTGGCCTCCTGGGTGGCGACCAGTCCGCTGATGGAAGGGGCAAGAATAAGGGGCGTGTGGTGAGCAACCATGTCGGAGCGACGGGGGCCGGTAGAATATGGAAGGAGAGGGGCAAGGTTGCGGGTTGGATGTCCAGAACTCAAAAACGCACCTGATGTGGGCCATGTCACACATGAGGAGGGCGGAGCAGGAGTCGGCGATCTCGCGGAAGCGCTTGTAGTCCCAATCGCGGGGGTAGGCACTGCCACCGCAGATGATGAGCTGGGGCTTGAAGAGATCGACACGCTTCTGCAGCTCCTCGTAGTCGAGCAGGCCCGTTTCGCTGGACACCTGGTAGGGCAGGGACTCGAAGAAGACGGAGGTGGCGCTGATTTTCTTGGTGCTGCCATCGCGGGGAGAGTACGAGTAGTAGCCGTGGGTGAGGTGGCCACCGGAGGGGAGGTCGAGGCCCATGATGCGATCGTGGGGGCGGAGGAGGGCCGTGTAGACGGCGAGGTTGGCTGGCGAGCCCGAGTAAGGTTGGACGTTGACGCCCCACTCTGAGGGGTTGAGGTTGTAGGCAGCGAGAGCACGATCGCGGCACAGGTTCTCAATCATGTCAATGTACTCGTTGCCACCGTAGTAGCTAAGGGGCTCGGACGGGCAGTGGGCGGGTGAGAAAGAAAGCGAGGCGGAGAGGGAAGAGGAGGAGGAGGAAGAAGAGGAAGAGGAAGAAGAGGAAGAGGAAGAAGAGGAAGAGGAAGAGGAAGAGGAAGAGGAAGAGGAAGAGGAAGAGGAAGAGGAAGAGGAAGAGGAAGAGGAAGAGGGTACATACCGGCCGCCGGGAAGGCCCTCGGCATACTTGTTGGTGAGGCAAGAGCCGAGGCACTCTTGCACGGCACGGGAGGTGAGGTTCTCCGAGGCGATGAGCTCGAGGCCCGAGCGTTGACGTTCCTTCTCCTTGCGGATAATGTCGTAGATTTCAGGGTCGTGCTCCTGAAGCGAGGTGTGACCAGGAAGGGTGGTGGGGATGTCCGAGACCGAGGCCATGGTGCGGGTAATGTTGCAAAGAGCGAAGAGCGTGCGGGCACGAGATGGAAGGATCTGCTGAAGCGTCCGGCTCGACAACAGCCTACGATGCGATACAGGCCACAGGGTGGCAAGGGCAACGGGCGTGAGGTTGGCTCGCGTGACACGGGCCACGGCAAAAGAAGGAGGTGCGTGCGTGTGTGTGTGTGCGTGAAGGGTACGATGACGAGAGATCGAAAGAGGAGGAGGAGGAGGAGGAGGAGGAGGAGGACAAGGCTACACGATTATCAAGCACAGTGAAGAACAGGCGAGACCTGAATCACTCGATGCCAAAATGAGGTGTGTGAATGTGAGAGTGTGTGTGATGGAGAAGCAAGCAGGCAGCATCACACATCCAACAAACAAACAGCAGCAGCAGCACAAGTACCAGTGGCACATGCCCAAGCCACACACAGACCAAAGAAAAGATGGCAAGGCCACCACACACACACACACACACACACACACACACACACACACACACACACACACATGCACGAATACAGACCGCCAAACGCCAGTGATACCAAAGAGAGAGAGAGACAGAGACAGAGAGAGAGAGAGAGACAGAGACAGAGACAGAGACAGAGACAGAGAGACAGGATAGAGAGAGAGATAGAGGGACAGAGATAGAGGGACAGAGTGAAGAGAGAGGGTTAACAGAGAGAGAGAGAATGGGGAATGGGAGGACGGAGACAGAGACACAAACAGAGAGATAGAGGTGTTGTGTTGATCAAAAGGCGGATTGAGCAAGCCACTGGGTGACATGTGCCACGAACGCACACACACACACACACACAGAGTGTGAGGGGCGTTTTGTGGAGGGGAAAAGGGGGCAGCAAGATCTCTGTCTCTTGGGTGTATATCCAGTCACCACTCCAACTAGAAGAAGAGCAGTTGGCAGTGGGCCATATCGATCACGCTGCCATCTGACTGACTCACTGGTACAGTACTGCAGGAGAAGAGAAGAGAGAGAGGGAGAGGGAGAGAGGGGAAGGGGGCAGAGAAGCAGAGGGGAAGCAGAAAGGGGGCCGCTTACATTCGGTGGGCAAAGAGAAAAAGAAAAATGCGTCAAAGCCATAGAAAGAGAGACAAAGAGAGAGAGAGCGATCAAGAGCGAGCGATCAAGAGCGAGAGAGACAAAGAGAGAGAGAGCGACAAAGAGAGAGAGAGAGGAGACACAGAGAGAGACACACACAAAGACAAAAGAGAGACAAAAGAGCAAACAAACCACAAAGAGAGAGAGACGAACCAACAGAAGCAGAAACAGACAAAAGGAATAGTGTGTGTGTGTGGGATCGGACTGTGATATGTGTGGTACTTTGCTTTGGTAAAGCCTCTGGATGGCATCATCTGGTGTGGTACCAATTTGATTTGGGTATACAGTATCATAAACGTTATGATGGTGAAGGTCGCGCGACGTCCGTCAAGGAGACCGCGATGGCAGGCAGGTGGTGATCGCGAGCTCTGTTCGGGGAGCGGGGGTTGCAAGAGCGGTTCTGATGCCTTGCTGGTTGCTGGGATGGCCTGCTGGTGCTGGACACGGTGCTGTGGCATGCATCGCGAAAAGAAGCGATATTGGGCACAACACCTGTCACGTGCCAGAAGCTGAAGCGCGCGGTTTTCTCTTTTTCCAATTCAAACGCGTGTCTCCTCTTTAGGAGGTATTCCCGAACCAAAGCTTACTGGCTGCTCCGCACCACCGTGAGGCCGCGATGGGGCCATCTTTCAAGGATGGCCGCGAGGCAAGAACAATGTTCGAGGTCAAGGTCGGTGCCGCCACGGTATCGTGCTCAGAACATTCATCGCCACGCCCGACCGACCGCCGCTTTACGGGAACGGCAACAGATGTTGTAAACAGTATACTCAACAATGTCATATCCCTACAACACTAAAATACGACAGGCACAACAACACCCTTTTGCAACAACAAAATACTTTACCCACGCGGCCATGTGTGTGTGTGTGTGTGTGTGTGTGTGTGTGTGTGTGTGCATGTGTGTGTGTGTGTGTGTGTGTGTGTGTTGGTGGCTCTCTGCTTTGCGCTTTGGTTTTGCTGCAGCCCGCGCAAACATCGCCAGAGCAGCGACCGAGAAAGGCAGAGTAAAGCCCACAACGGTGGATGTTGTCAGCCAGGAACAGCAAAGCAGGGAGGCAAAGCCAAAGCAGGGGAAGGGGCTGCCCTTGATCCATTCGCATTCATACGTACGAACGGCCCCCGCTTCGCCCTCTCCGATTTGTATCTCTTACAAATTGAAGGGGGTCCGCGTGTGCTGACTTTTGTTCCAGGTTTTGAAGTTGTAGTCTGGACCTTCTCTGACATGATTGATGCAATCAGAACGCCTCTCTAAGATTTATCGAGCAATGACGAATATCTCTTAAAACACCTTTGAAATTACACTATCACCCAACCAACTTCACACACACTCTCTCTAGAAAAATGATCATCACACGCCTTTCTCTACCCGCAGGCCCTCACCTTTGACGCCTCTCTCACCCAACCACACACGCGTGTTCCCCACACACGCTCCACTTCCTTTCTCTCTTCAACACACACACACACACACACACACACACACAGACCCAGACGCGCGCGCGCACATACCCTTGCTCACACGACGCGGACCGTCCGGAGCAATGGCGGCGGCAGCGGGTGCTGGCAGTGCTGGCACGACCACAGGGTCGGGTGGCAAGCAGTACAACTTCAAGTCCATCACCATTGTGCCCACGGCCAAGGTACGGGCGAATTGTCGTGTCGCGGATTCTTACGTGCTCGCACACGTGGTCTTTTCTTGACCCTCAGGGCCATCAACGACGTCAACGTGAGAATGGAGCACGGGCAGTTGGAGAAAGGGGCAGAGAGCCACGGCGGGAAGAAATCAGCACACATGCCCTCGTAGCATGTCTGCACCTTCTTATGGCTGTGCATCATCTCGGCTCACCTCCCTCCTGTCAATATACCTCGTCTCTCAGGATTTTATTGACATTGTGCTCTCGCGTACTCAGCGCAAGACCCCGACTGTCATTCACAAGTCAGCTCTCGTCCTCGTTCTAGCCCCTTTCATCGTTTGTGCCACTGTCATCGCCTCGTTCTCTCATGCAGCTCGCCTGCCGAATCGCTCCTTTTTTTTTTAGAAATTACAAAATTACCCGCATTCGTGCTTTTTACACCCGCAAGGTCAAGTACACTCAGCAAACCTTCCATGACAAGCTATCGACCATCATCACCGAGGTTTGTACTCATATATCTGCTCTTCTTGCCCTCTCAACTTCCCGTCACCAACCGCTCTCACCCCGTTTCTTTCTCTGTGGCACACAGTTCCCCAAACTCGACGATGTTCATCCTTTCTACGCAGATTTGATGAACGTCCTCTACGACAAGGACCATTACAAGCTTGCCCTCGGTCACATCAACAATGCTTGTCACCTCATTGACAAGTACGCTTGACCTCTGTATCCCATCAGCGCGGTGCCCTCTCAGTCCTGCCCTGTGAAAGCCTCACCGTTGCTTCATCACAAAACCCCAGCGTGGCCAAGGACTATGTGCGCCTCCTCAAGTACGGCGATAGCCTCTACCGCTGCAAGCAGCTCAAGCGTGCTGCCATGGGCCGCATGTGCACTATCATGAAGCGCCAAGCGTCCTCTCTGGCATACCTCGAGCAGGTCGGTTTTACTTACCTCTATCCCCCTTCCTTGCCTTGGCCCTTGCTTTTCCATCTTGCCAATTTTTTATTTTTTTCCATCAAACCCCATTGAGTTGCACTCATTCTTTACGTCCTTGGTTTTGCTTCACACTTCAAAAGGTCCGGCAGCATTTGTCACGCCTGCCGTCCATCAACCCGACGACTCGCACGCTTCTCGTGACCGGCTTTCCCAACGTGGGCAAGTCCTCCTTCGTCAACAAGATCACCCGTGCCGATGTCGAAGTGCAACCCTACGCCTTTACCACAAAATCCCTCTTTGTGGGTCATACAGACTACAAACATCTCCGGTGGCAGGTCATCGACACCCCCGGTATCTTGGACCAGCCACTTGAACAGCGCAACACCATTGAAATGCAAGCCATTACTGCCCTCGCCCATCTTCGTGCTTGCGTCCTCTACTTCATGGATCTCTCCGAGCAATGTGGTCACACCTTTGCTGAGCAAATATCGCTTTTTGAAAACATCAAGCCTCTTTTCGCCAACAAGGTGCCGTGATTGCATCTTCTTGTTAGCCGTGCAATTCAAGTTGCAACACAAAGAGGGGGTGAATGGGGGTGACGGTTGGGTCTTCTTGTGACGAGCAGGCATTATGCTAAATCTCGCTCCCTCTGCTTCGCATGTATATAGCCCTTGATTTTGGTCATCAACAAGATCGATACAGTGGCGCTCGAGGACCTCGATGCTGACAAGCGAGCCGTCGTCGCTGGCTTTGAGGAGAGCGGCATCACTGTACTCACCATGAGCACGCTGACAGAGGAAGGCGTTGCCAACGTTCGCAACACCTCCTGCGACCTTCTCCTTGCCCATCGCGTTGATGCTGCCTCTCGCACACACCGAGCTGAGAGCATTCTCAACCGCCTCCACGTGGCCATGCCCGCCCGTCGTGACGACAAGGTTGGTCGTGGGACCCTTCATGCTAGCATTTGATTCTGGAAAACAGCAATATAGCTGGCTTGGCACATGATGATCGAACATGCAGAAATTTGAACGCTGATTTTTTTTCGTGCGGACACAATTATCGCGTGATGCCAAGTTCCAGTTGTGAAGAATCGTTGTACTTGTGTTTGGCTGCGTGTCATCCGTTGTTCTTCAACTCTCATCCCTCATCACAAAATTTTCATCCCTCTGATTTAGGAACGCCCTGCTTTTGTGCCTGATGGTGCCGAGGCCAAGCGGATGGGTCGCGTGCCGACCAAGGGCCGTCAGCAGCGCATTGATGCCGAAGAGGCTCGAAACAATGCCATGGACAGCGATCGCAAGCTACTTCGTGATGTGCAAGACGAACTCGGCCCTGAATATTCCACTGACATGCGTGCCGAGTGGGATCTTAAAGACAATTCATGGCGATATGACGCCATCCCCGAAATTGTCGATGGCAAAAACGTCGCTGACTTTATCGACCCTGATATCATGGCCAAGCTGGAGGAGCTTGAGATGGAGGAAGAGGCTCGTGAGCGGGCCGGCGAATACGATTCGGAGAGCGAGGACGAAGCCGATAAGGTTGCGCGCGCTCAGTCAGCCATGTAGGTTCCTTTTGCACAATAGGTGTTGACGAGCATCATCACTTGTTCAAGCTCACAACACTACTGCCTGTTTTTATAGGATCCGACACAAGCGAATGATCATCCGACAGGCAGCGCATCTCCGCAAGTCACGCAATGCTCCCGTGTTGCCCAAGGCCATTCGTCAGAAACTGAAGCAGCTTCCCAAAGACATGAAGCGCGAGCGCCGTGAATACCTCTCCGACAACGAAGATGGTGATGCCATGGATACGTCTCGTGATGGCGATCGTGATGATCGCCGTGGAAGTGGTCGCCGCGAGCGCTCGCCCATTCGTCGTCCCGAGGCCTCCTTCACGGCTCGTAAGCAGATGGATCGCCAAGTTGATCAAGCAGCTGGTATGGCTGGCTTGCTTACGGCTGCTCAAAAGCGCAAGGCTGTTCAAAAACGGAATTTGGGCATGCGCAACATCAACTACCAGGGTCGTCAGGGTGAAGCCGATCGCCGCATCCTCACCCGCATGCCCAAGCACTTGTTTGCGGGCAAGCGCGGCAACGGTACTGCTGATCGTCGTTGAGTGGGTCAGAAACAGCCTTTCTTTTGCTCGCCGATTCCAAGTCGGGCGCTGTCTTCATGCA